CGCTCCTGCCATCAGAATTTGTTAATCAATCGGTATAGCGATTTGCTCGAGGGAGAGCGCGGCGCAAGGCAGGATGGTCATAAAAGCTAAGCGCAGAATAGTACGCAATAGGCGTGATGACCAGCTTTTGTCATTCTATCCGGTGACAAGTTTTGTGTTAGGCCGGAAAAGCCAGAGCAGCATCGGGGAATCCCTAATAGGGGGGGGGGTGCAATTTGCCGCCAGGAAGGAGGGGGGCGTCGTCGTAGTTGGGTGCCAGAGAAATTTATTTTGATGTTGATTTTTCGTCGGCTTCACAGGAAGCGTTGTAAAAGGGGAGGGGGAAATCTTACTTGTGTTCAATGTTGGGCGAAAGAGTGAGGGGGTCGTATTTGACCTTTTGGGCCTTTGTGGAAGTGGTGTTGGACTTTTTGGTGAGTTTCCTGTTTTCAAGATGGGTGACTATCGTCTCCCGCTCGATCGCTCGCGGTATCGAGTCAGGAGGGGGAGAGGGACGGGTGCGGAGGGTCGTGGACCTAAGCGCCCGATAAAAGTGGGGGGGGGGGGGGAGTCGTCGCAGACTCGATTAAAAGTCGCGCCATGCCAATTGATTGCCGCTGCACCGAGAAAACCGATGCATGGCTGTGAAGCAGCGTGAGCCATGCCGATGTTGCATCAAACCGATGTTAATAAGCCGATGCAATGGAATTGCGCTGCTCCCGTCTTGTGTCGTGGTATGGGAATCACGGATTATCGACGGTTGGGGGTGGGAGCAACTGCTTCGACCTCTGCAAACGAGTGCAACAGACGCACTAATACGTCAAAATTAATTGCAAGTAGTGAAAAATGAAGCGTAGTTCAGGCTTGGTGGGCATTTGCTGTTCGTTCCGCGCCAGCGAGCAAGTGGCGCATAGTCGTAGTTGCCTAAGCTGTCAAATCTTCGTAAGAGTTCTTGCAATAGGCACGATAGCCTCGTACACTGACAGGGAATTTACAGGGTCCGCGAGAAATTGTTGACCATGTGTGAATTATAGCTGGGAAGACTGGAGTACAAAGAGTGAACTAGAGCAGTGCATGTGAAGTGCCCTCTAAGCTGGACAGCTCGGCCGGTGAAAATCTTTGAGGTGTGCAAGCCTAGATAACGGCTAGGAAATATTTGTGCTCTCCTAAGGCGCGGATGGAAGAGCTAGCACGGATGTTGTGAAATACATTCTTATGCAATCGTCCAGGAACAAAGGGATTTGTGCAAGTCCTCAGGATATCTGGCCTTGCGTCGTTTGGAGCTGCACAAAAAGAGAATGGGAGGAACTGCGAAAACACCTAAATATGCATGAAGCCTCGAGGAACTCCTTGGGTATCGGTTGGGATAGGCAAAGTCAAGACCGATCAATTCGCGTCAATTGCTTTTCTCGGATTCTTTAGTCCTCCGGTATGAACGCGGCTTTGTATCTCGAAGTGAACTTACTTGCTTATAAAGTTCGTGACATCTTTTGGTGAAACTCCTCCGCAGCTGCTTATTATCGCGTGTGAGTGAGTCTTCATCTTCCAGCTTATCCACCTGAACCCACAATTTACTACCAACTACCACAAGGTTGTTTGCTGGGTTTTGGACAAAAAGCTCAGCTTCAACGCCGGTCCCAAAATAAGCCACACTTTACAGAAATGCAATAAAAATTACAATGAAATTAAAAACAAATCGGAAATTTCTCCCAAATTCTCTCCTAATTGATAGACAGCCATCATTTACTCCCACTGGTATTTGAAAGAAGCAAGGAATGACAAGTAAAATGCTAGCGAATTCCTACCTACCTGAGCGTCAAGCTGTGGTAACCTTGATAGTATGTCTCCAATAGAGATGATTCGATTGAACAAACTCATTTTCACGTCTTCAGGAAGCGAATCAGAGGCAAATTCAAGTGGGCGACGAGGTCAGTGACACGAGCTCGTGCTCTACAAGCAGCAGCTGTTCAGGTCATGCAATCGAGCATTTCCCGCAGACTGTTGCTTAGCAACCATCTGAACCCAAATAACGCTTTCATTTAATCCACCTGTACCGGGTCAGACGCACTGAACCAGGGGTTTCCTATATTGAAATGAAAATATCCTTTGTGGATTTTCTGCTCGTAAGGGTTTTAAGGATTCGAAAGATGTTCGGCATGCACAGTGGATTTTTGGGCAAGTTGGTTCCAGCAACACCAGTTTTGTCGAATAACTGCTTTTGGCGCCTCTCAGGCGCGGCTACAAGGAAGGATGTGGCCCGTGCCCGGCGCGCCGCGGCGCCGGCGGCACGACGCTCTTCGCCGTCGAAGTGGCCATTTGAAATGAAATGTATACCGGCTGGAAAGGTCTTCGGACGGGAATTACGAAACCGTCTTCCATATCTGCTGCGGACCTCCCAGAAAGAAGTTACGGAGCTTTTAGTGGGAGAATACACTACGTATTGGCGGCGTAAGGCTGACAAGATCGTGGCAGCATGGCCGAGTGGGTACGTCGTAGGGCTCACGGATGCGGTCGAGGGTTTGAATCCTTGATGCGTGTGCTCTTTTGCATTTTTTCGAAAGTGGTCCCTGTGCACTTCAAAGCTATTTTGCATAACACTTGTCCGTGATAATGTCGTGACGTAATGATTCTGAACTGATGGAGCCACTGCGAACCATTCCATAGAGATCACCTTCTGGGCACCAGAACTATTCCTGCCCCAGAAACTCAAAAATTTTTTTCGCTGAAACGTTGCCTAGAGATGTAATTCAACACGCTGATCGCGAATATAACATCCGTTTCAACCGCTGGCGTCATTTGGCGCCATTATGCGCCAATTTGGCGCCCACCTCTTTTTTCACCAAAGTCGATGAAAACTTGCATATGGGGGTTAATTGAGGTCCTGATTACGAATCCAGCATTTATTTTTGGCGCTGGCGCCATTTGGTGCCATTACGCGCCAATTCAGCGCTATATTGGCGCATAATGGCGCCAGCGCTTGAAACCAGTGTGATATTCGTAATCAGGACCTCAATTGACCCCCATATGCAAGTTTTCATCAACTTTGGTGAAAAAAGTGGTGGGCGCCAAATTGGCGCATAATGGCGCCAAATGACGCCAGCGCTCGAAACGGATGTTATATTCGTGATCAGCGCATCGAATTACATCTATAGGCAACGTTTCAGCGAAAAAATTTTTTTTGAGTTTTTTGGGGTAGGGTAGGGTTAGTTCAATAGTGCCCACTTTCTGGCTGTTGTCTTCTTCTTTCTTTGATTTGAAAAGCATACACAACAAAAGTGCATTCCAAAAGAAGATTTTGCTTTCAAATGACTTTATTCTCCAAACGACATGACTGGAAAACGAATCCGAACGCACGACGCTGTGCACGAAGATGAGTATAACGGGGAAAATGCTTCCATATGAAGTGGCGTTGATGTGACAATCATGCTGCTGGAGATCGCGATGGGCAAGAGCTTCATTCACCACTCACATAATGTTGAATTATGCCTATCTCAAAGTGTTTTCGTACCTGCTGGAAGGTTTTCGGCTCGTATGACAATCTTTTCAGCTGGAGGTGATCTCCATGAAATCGTTCGCAATGGCTCCATCAGTTCAGAATCATTACATCACGACATTATCAGGGACAAGTGTTATGCAAAATAGCTTTGAAGTGCACAGGGACCACTTTCGAAAAATGCAAAAAAGCACACGCATCAAGGATTCAAACCCTCGACCACGCACCGTGAGCCCTGCAACGTATCCACTCGGCCATGCTGCCACGATCTTGTCAGCCTTACGCCGCCAATATTGTAGTGCATCTCCCCTAAAAAGCTCCGTAACTTCTTTCTGGGAGGTCCGCAGCAGATATGGAAGACGGTTTCGTAATTCCCGTCCGAAGACCTTTCAGCCGGTATACATTTCATTTCAAATGGCCACTTCGACCTACCATCCTTCCCTTGTAAGCGAGAAGCCTGACTTGTATGGCTGGTTTCTAAACCTGCGAATACTGCAAGCGCGATCCGGCACCTTCATGGACTGCACTACAGCCTTATTTACTGCGGATGCAGGGGCGTATCAGGTAGGTTGGGTTTGGAGCGCCGCCAACCCATTCCCCACTAATTATTGAAGCGATCAAGCAACCACAAGTGGTCGGCAAGGGGCTGGCAATGCGCCAAACCTAACCCCTTCGTACACCCAGCATTCTCAGCGAACAAGACTGACATCCGTCGTGAAGCACATCACAGTTTTAGATCGTTTAGTAGACCGTGATGTAACGAATCAGTTGAGTGACAAGGCGATCCGAACAGAAACTTTCATATACCTATAAATTACTCCGTTACGTATTGTGCTAGTAGTTAATGTGCCTTCCGAGGTTGGGAGGTGGAACTTCTATTCAGCGGCAGGCTTTTCGACTAAATCGTCATCTTCGAGGCCCAGAATTCCACCTTTTGAGCGTATAAATCCGCTACCACACGAGCGCTAGTAAGAAGCGATTAATCGATTACTCTGATATACTTATTTTCTCTTTATTGATTAATTAATTCATATTAACTAGAATCGGAACTTCAGTTTCATTTTTTCATTACGCATTCAGATCACCATACGGTTTCAGTTCAGTAGAACAGTCGAATTAATTATTTAACTATTCGAGGTCGAGAACGTTGAAAGAGCTACAGTTGATGTCGTCACAGTCCGTCGGGGCGGTGTCAGGGGAGTGCAATGAGCCCATCTGCGTGTGCGTTTTCCACTGATGGTTGTTTTCTACCTAAACTACCCTATTGGTTGAAAATGCGCTCGCGGGCGTGCTCATGTCACGCCTCCTGACACTGCTCCGCTAGTCTACCCGCGGGAATGCGACAATATCGACTATACTAAACAATGGAGCGGACTATGAATAGTGGTGAATGTTAGTTATTACAGTAATCAGATTATGGTATGACATTACTATTTCGACCAGGAAAAATTACAACAGTAAAATTCATCACATCTGCAAACACGTATATACATTATATCAAACTCAGTAAACAACGATGACTAGAGATTCAATTGAGCGTATTTTGACTACGAAGCCGTGACTCAACAATATCATATATGGAATCCTGTAGTCGACTGTAAGTCCTACACAGATCATAGAGACCAGTCTTCAACCCGTTACTAACATATGCTATAGAAACTTTGTTCTTTAGGTCGTAAACCACTTGTTGACAACCGTGCCCAGTGTGTCCGACAAGGAATTCCGTCTGAAATTGTGAAATCGTTGATAAAGCAGAAAAAAGTAGCACAAAAGATTCTCGGATATTCTTTGATTTTTAAAGCAAAGTACTTCGAACCCGATTTGAATGTTTACTGATAAGAGCATTCAGTAAAGATAAGAAATGGTCAAAGCTCTTCATTAACATGCCATACTAAAAAGAAGGCCTGCTAGACAAGGTCGGGGGCAATGAGAAAAATTGAGCGCTCAGCACCTCTCCCGCAAGTTCCAGTTTTGAATCACCGCAAAGAAGAACGTCGTATGCAGTTTAAATTGGTGAGGCTCCCCTCGATCACTGACGGGCCTCCTGTGAAGACCTATAGACTCTTGTGAAGTTCTGCAAAAGCCTCAGCTTCGTTTACTCTAAACAAGAGCCTTCAGTCTCACCAAGGCGAGAAGTGTAGCTTACCAGGAGTTAGTAAAAGAAAGAGCAAATCAGAAAAATGCTCCCCCTCTCCCCTAAGCTGAACAGCGTCGAAGGTCGTATTTGAAATGCTTTCAAAATCCAGTGAACCGAGAACATGTTTAAGAGGAGGTAAGGGGTGGCGACTTGGGACTCTTGGGTTGGGTGGGTCGTACTCAAAACAGCGGTGGGGATGGGGGAATACGTTACCTTGGTTGGAGTCAACTACCCCTTAGATTTTGGTTGCCAGCTTAGAGACACCTGAGGGATGGTTGGTTCCGTTTAAGTGCTCACCGATCCTGACCGGAACAGGCTCGCGTAAACCCTATTAGCCTTGAATGCATCCAAATACGACCACAACTCTGAATGCGTGGCGCATCCTGAGAAATAGTAGACGCTCTAACAGGACTCGCAGCTTATAGAAAGAAAACTGCTTGATAAACCTAAGAAGTAAAAAGAAGGAGACCTACCCCTGCTCTATGGAGTGGGAGATATAGAAAACCATGTCCTTTTGCGATCGTGTCGTCAAAAATCAGATCAGTATCATTATTGTAATGATGTTGTAAGCGATTGAGCATTTCTTCACTGAGCAACTTTTCTGTAGCCACCTGAAACACAGTTAAAAAACTAAAGCTGAAAACAGAGCACAACTGTTCCTTCTCATTCGATATCGTCGCAACTAGCCGGGGTGGTCTAAAGGGGTGCCCCTGGCTGCGTTTTCTACCAATAATGGTCGATTAGTGAACAGATCGATCAGTCGATCCTGAAAGAAAGCAACCGGCGGTGAAAACGCCCCGGTGTACTCATCCCATCTCTCCTTACAACCCCTTACTGATTGCGACGGGTGCCATTCCGGTAAAGTGGGTAGGTCCATAATCGTATGGGTGCGTTTCGAAAATGTCTTATGGGGAGGAAGGGCTTATTAACTATGACTGCTCATGCCTTTTGAGAGGTACACGCTTAAAATACTGCCAACAAGCGGACCTTTTGGAGAGAACATTCAATGGTTTCTCCACATTTTTCGATAGTTCTACAATTTGCGAAGCGCAGGTTATTAAATCGACTGGAAATTTTGCATTCCTGAACTGATCATGAATATTTTTGCTATAGGGTCATGCCATTAGAGTTCGCCCCGCGTTGCTTCTAATGGATCTTCGAACACTCTACC